TAGAAAGCAAAATGACATTATGAAACAAACAATGATTACATTATTAAAAAACAAGTCATTGTCTATAAAATAAAGTTTACGACACTCAACAATCGAAAGATGAAAAATGAAAATTCCCTAAGAATAACTACATGTGCCGATATTATAACAAATCCTAAAAATACATACACCAATCATGATGTAATAGAAATAACTATAACACACAACTATAAACAAACGACCATGCATTAAGCAATATGAACAACAAAAACAGTAATTATTAATTACTTCATATGATTACAGGGACTTACTCTTCATCATCATCATCATCATTCCCATATCTGCCCCTCCTCCTCCTCCTCGTACTAATTTGAGATTGTGACATTACGCGGCGAGCTTGTGATCTGGTGGTGGGCGTGGCAGCTACCGAAGCCACGCCTACTTCAGAAGAAGCATTCTCTTTATCACATTCTACATATTAAGAAAAATATGTAATATTAAGGAAAGGAGGAGGAAGTTTAATAAAATTATATTTAATAATCAATTGCTTAATAAATGAAATAATATGAAAATAATGTTACTAATATCAGGATTACTATAATATGATTATATCAGGGACTTAATGTCTGATCACATACCCACGTACACGTACACTACAAGTATAGTAACAATTACCACAAGAGAGAGACTACAGCTATGCTAAGGTATAGTTCCCAGTAACTGGTAACAGTAAACATTATACATATTACTAACAAATTACAAACATAATTACTCATTCCTAGTGTCCACATGCATCATAACCTAATAATGAGAAGGGGCTGTGTATAGTAGTAGCTGCTAATGATTCCATGTAATAACTAATATCATGTTGAGTATGTGTATAATGAACAAATGGGTTCTCACTCTGTGTACATATAGCAGCTGCCAAGACATACGGTATGCTTCTAAAAGTGTTTTTGGATAACAATTAAATATCACGAGTATTATAGTTTAAACATGATACATGTATAGAACATCATTTCTTTGATGTCGTTGGATAAACATGATGTAGGCTTGTAACAAAGAGAGCAATGTTTGCTAGTAACACATGTAATACTGTACTTTATAGCAGCAGTTATCCCTTGATCCTATAAAGTGTCCTGTATGTACATTGAATGTTTGTGTATTTAAAGGTTAAGGGTTTATTCTAGTAGCTCCCCATAGCTAGACTAATAGGCTCTCTCTCACAGCACTGTTGATGGTGTTATTATGAACAATTAGACACATTAACTGTAACGTGCTACTAAAGTATCTTTCCCTCATAACAGGTAATGTGCCATGGGGAGAGATTGTTTGAATGTGGACGTGCACACAAACTGTGAGAGTTTATCTTTGGACAAGAGAAATGGGGAGAGAGAGGGAGAGAGAGGGAGGGATAGACCTGGTATAACTTGTGCTGTGACAGGCAGGAGCTTGTCAATCATGTTCCTAAACTTCTTCAAACTATTGAGACACCTTCTGTCATCCACAGACTGAGAGAGAGAGAGAGAGAGAGAGTGAGGATTATATATACATGCAGTATGCTATTATAGATACCTCAACTTACATTCATGAGTTGGTCCACTAGTATCACAACATCTTTATTGTTACACTAGCAACAGGAAGAGGAACAATTAAAAAGATAAGGAGAGGAAGTGAAGGAAATAATGAGAAGAAAAGGAACTAATTTCTACCCAAAAATGAATTGCAACACACTCTGACAATGGATGACCACATACTCACTAAAACCAATAGTTCCCATGACAAGTATGATAGACATACATGGTCACTGCAGACAGTCACGTTAGAACTGGAGGACTGTATAGTGGATACTTGAAAGGTTTAATGGATAAACCAATGTGTACATGTACTTGTACATGTGTAATGTGTAATGTACACATCATTTGATGTGTACACACATCAAATGCATCAACACCAAAACCACTCACAGGAAGTTAAGTACATGTATACAATATACACACATACATGCATGTACATATAGGTAACTTTTATTTACTTATTTTATTGTACATGTACATACCCCCATACTCACATGTGATACATGTACATACATGTCACTGCTATTTTAAGACTTTCAGTATATGTACATGTACATGTATAATTTCTATGAAGAATAAACCACCAGTGTGTGTGTGTGTGTGTGTGTCTGGACTCTGGAGGTGAGTATCTGTAATGTAATACCTGAGTCCCTTGATATCTGCCCTCAGCTTCACCTCAAGCAGATATCTCAGTCCTCAGGTATTACATTACTTAAGCTCTTACTGTGTTATGAGGTGATAGCTTCAGTAAAGTAAGAGTGTGACAATGGAGCCTACACCATTCAATGTAACTACCATCATCATCATCATCACTATTAGCTGCTGATGTCATTGATAGCATCTGATTTAATACATGAATGGACAAATCATCGTGAGAAGAATCTTCCTAGCAATAAAGAGAAGATTAGTGACTCATATGTACATGTACTGGTAGTATATAACCATATGGCAGGAAATGTACTGGAATTTCCAGGAATTATAGTAACATGATCATTAATCCTCTTACACTCCTCCCTCCTTCCGTTCATGATTAATCACACCAATTTTGATCAAAATTGGATCAAAATTGGATTTTTATGAATTTGAAAGTTGCTCCAAAAGCCATATGTACTGTCCCCCCTCTCTCTTTCCCCCTCCCTCCTCCTTCTCCCTCCTTCTCCCTCCTCCTCCCTACTCCCTCCTCCCTACTCCTCCCTCCTTCCTCCTCCTTCTCTCACTGTTGGTTCATGAGGAGCTGATAAACTGACGATAAACCCTGACATGTTAGTGACATCCACTTCAGTTAGAGAGGAAGTGGGTGGAGCATCACGAACTGCTTGCATAACCGGAATATAGGCCTCAGCAATACTGGTACGATACGACCTGAAACAACAACAATAACAACAAATAATAATAATAATAATAATAACAACAATAATAATAATAATACTACCTCACCTGTCAGTAGCAGCATAGGCTGGGAAGAAGTGTCCGAGTGTAGTTCGAATGTCCTCATCATGGAGGGATGGATCGTACCACATTAGCAACAGCTTGACCAGCAGAGGGACGCTAACGACACGTCCTGATAACAGGAGCTTTGATATACCCTCGGCTGATACCTCTCGCAGTAAAGTACTCTGGAAATAAAAAAGTCACATGATCAATAGATGGGATCACATGATCAATAGGTAAGGTCACATGACTATACCTTTCCATTAAGGTAAGACGTAAGAATCTGAAGAAACTTTTGTCCACTAGTGGTGCTATCATTGTCTGTTAGTCCTTCAGTTATGGTACCGGTTGACCCCTCCTCCTCCTCCTCTTGCCCCGCCCCCTTCTGTTCCTCACCATCCATTACCTAATAATAACAACAACAATAACAACAACAACAATAACAACAACAACAAAATAATAGTAATAATAATAATAACAACAACAAAATAATAATAAGCTCCAAATCTAAATACATTTTAATGAAAACAGTTAAAGTTGAATGGATTTGCCTACACTGTACATACACTAACTGAATGTGTGTGTGTGTGTGTGTGTGTGT